CACAGAGGGGCAGCACAGTTCAGTGGTTTAAAACTCAGGTCCTGCTCTGAACCGCACTGCCTGTTTTCCTAAGTCTTTAAAATATACACCCCCCCCACAAGTATATAAAAATTGGGTCATTCCTGAAGCACCCCCCCAATAGGCCATATTATCTGACACAAAAGTAGCTTACTATGGCCTTGATGTCTTGAATAGGAAAATAGCACTTGCCATGAAGGGTTTCTCTGTGTAGCCCTGGCTATCCTGGAACTCACTCTGTACACCAGGTGGCCTTGAACTCAAGAGATCTGGCTGCCTCTGGCTGCCTCTCAAGTGCCACCACACCGGGTTGATGTTTTTCTTTTTTAAATATAGTCTTATCAGGAGCTTGGAGAGGAGGCTCCTCTCCGTGGTTAAGAGCACCTCCCAACTACCTGTAATTCTAATTCTATGGGATCTGATGGCCTCGTCTAGCCTGAAAGTTGCCAACACACACGGTATACATATATACATGCAGGCAAATGCAGATACACATAATCTTCTCACTCTCCTATGGCTTTTGAATTTTGTGCTATGCCCTGCTCTCGAAGGGAACCTAGACTGGATCCCTAGCACCCACACAGTGGCTCATAGCCATCTGTAACTCTAGTTCCAGGGGGTCCGACACCTTCTTCTGACCTTCACTGGCACCAGACACTCACATGACATACATACATGTAGGCAAAACATTCATACATATGAAATAAAGTAATGTTAGATTAAAAAACACTTTTAAAATAAAAGTAAATGGCCCCATATTTTCTTCTTGTGCTTTTCTTATGTTCGGTTTGATCCATCTAGAAGTTATTTTGGCATAAGGTGTGAAGTGTGGTTCCAGTTTTATTTCCCTCCAGATGGTTACCTAGTCGTTCCAACACCATTCACTCATTTCCTTCATCAACTTGAAACTGCCACTTCATGATACTCAGAATTGTTACAGAATTTTTTTTCCTGACTTGACGGGAAGTTGCACTTTTTCTCTCTCCCTGTTTGTGGCTGTTTTTAAACGTTTAAAAGTTGCATAGAACCATCAGTATGCTATCCTAACAAGCCTTTCTCTTCGCTTCATGAATTTGTCATTACCAAGCTCATTTTGGTTTCTTCCTTTGAGTGTACTGCACACAACCTTCAAATATTATGAGCGTTTCTCTCTCCCAGCTGTCACCACAGCAAACTACATATGTTAGATTTCCCTAAATCATCTTGCTGCGCTCTTTGCAGCTCTCCGGTATACTGTTGATGTCTTCAAACAAGTTGCTTCAAAGTTACTGTATTTTCGGTGGATTCAGAAGGAAAGCCTGCCAAACCTATCGGGTTCCTTTTCAAATGGACAATTTCCATTCGACAAGACAGGCAAATAAGAGAAAAAAAAAACAAAACTATCCGTGGGAGATGAGACTGTCCTTCAAAATGTCAACTGTTTTGGAATTTATTCCATTAAAAAGGTTCAAAAATAATATAGAGGTCGCCCGTATTGGTGAATCATCCAAGACACTTCCAAGCTACCTCAGCAGATGGTTGACTCTCAACTGTCAGTTGCCATTTAAGGGGAAAGGGAAACAGTCTGGAGAGATGACCTTGCTGGCATCATGGCTGGCCCCAAGTTTCTATCTAAAACGGAACTAAAACCTGGTGTGTTTCTGTAGACCATTTAGAACTACGTTAGGAAAAAAAAATTACTCTCCATCCCAGAAGAGAGAGCCGCAAATGCAGTCAGGATAGAAGAGGGAATGGGAAGGCTGGGATACTCAGCCAGGTAGGAAAAGCTTTGAATGAAAGCAGCCTCAGGCAGGGGGAAACGGATCCCCACGTTCGACCTCCTAACAGTCCTAAGTCGTCATCTCCGTCCTCGCCAGCTGCCAAGGCTCCGCGCCCCGACTTAAGAGTTCTCTCTCCCTGACTCACAACTCCCTTCGCCCAAGAGACGCCTGGGCTCTCTTCTCATACCCAAACCTCTCTCCTCAGAGTCCATGTTCCACCACTACCCTCCCTCACCTCAGAGACCCGGAGACCCCCTCCGGGATTCTCCCAGAAACCTTCACTAGGGCCCGTGCCCCACCCCACTCTCTCCGCCCCAAGGGTTGTGATACCCCCGACCCGACCCGCCAGGAGCCTTGCCCTGTCCTGGTTCCCTAGCTAACCCCGAGCCCGCCCCACACCCGGGCCCCGCCCCACACCCGGGCCCCGCCCCACACCCGGGCCCCGCCCCACACCCGGGCCCCGCCCCACACCCGGGCCCCGCCCACACCGGGGGCTTGCTCCAGCGGCCCTCGTTTGGCGCCAAACCCGTAGATATTCGACGACTGGGTTGTCGGCCTCTGCGTTCTGGGTCTGCGTTAGAATTCTGGACTGGACGGGAAAGCCGGAGCGAGTGGGAGTCGTAAGGGATTCACCTTGAAAATCTCGGGAGGCTGTGGGTTCGAGTGGGGGTGAGTGGCGAAAAGAGGAAGGTCGGGAAAATCTGAGGAAAACTCGAAGCGTGGAGAAAGCCTTCCTCTCCGTGTCCTTTCTGTGGTAATTTTTGGTCGTTATTGGACTTGGCCTGGTGTCTGTCACCCTCTGCCCAGGCAGGCTCTGAGGCGTGTCGTGATTTCGAGACATTGCCATCTTCCTGTAGTCTTGAAGGCCTTCTCACATTATGAGGGAACTAGGTCGGGCCTGGAAAATGTAGGCCTCAGAGGCCCTGACTGAGCCTCTTGCCCAGGGGCCCCGGGCCTCCGACCGCCTTCTCTTTGCCCTGTTGCTCTCCACCAGTCCTCTGAAACCGAGGCTGAGCGCCCTGCTTCTGATCCCGGGGTCGGGGCGGACATGCCTGTGATCCCAGCAATAGAAGGCAAGGCCAGTACATCTCACAGACTCTGTTGCAAAAGGAGAGGCGATTGATTTGCATTCCTCACTAAGAACAGTCTGGTATTTAGGCTAATCATGGGTAAAGGCTAAGAGATGGGCATGGTGGTACATGTTTGTAGTTCCAGAACTGAGGAGGTGGAGGCAGGAGAATCAAAGAGTTGCAAGCTATGTAAAACTTACACACAGACACACACTCATACACACACACCATACCCTCAGAAGGTAGAGGCAGGAAATTCATTACAAACTTGAAGCCAGTCTGTTCTACTTAAGGAGTTTCAGGACAGCCAAGGCTACAAGCAAAACCCTCACTCAAGACTGAAAAAGCAAAAACAAACAAACCCCAGTATTCCAGAAGAGCCTACTCAAATACTGTCCTTTTTTGTACCCAACTCTTTGGCACCTTAGTAGTTTGTTTCCTTTGTGCTGGCACCCAACGCTTGACTTTGGCATTAAATGAGGAAACGTGAGGTCAGCCAGGGCTGCACAGAGAAACCCTATCTCAAAAACAAAACACAAAAACAAAAACCCACACCAGAACCCAACCAACCAACCAACCAGAAAACAACAACAAAAACAAGGGTCTGGAGAGGTGGTTCAGTGGTTAAGAGTACTGACTGATCTTCCAGAGGTCCTGAGTTCAATTCCCAGCACCCACATAGTGGCTCACAACCATCTGTAATGGGAACTGATGCCCTCTTTTGGTGTGTCTGATGACAATGACAGTGTACTCACATATATGAAATAAGTAAATCTTTAAAAAAAAACAAAAAAGGGAAACGGAATAGACTAGGAACAATATGATTCAGACTATGTTTTATTGTAATGTATACCATCATGTCTATAGCTTCTCAGGATTTTTAAAAAACTGTTATTGGATAGTGTCCTGCCTTGTTTTTTTAATTCACAAACGTTATTTATTCACTTTATATCCAAGTCTCAGCATCCCCTCCCTTCTCTCCAGTCCCTCCCTCTCACCTCTCCTCCCACTCCCTCATCTACCCCTTCTCCTGGGAAAAGGGGAGGGCTCCCATGGACAGGAATCAGCCCCAGTATATCAAGCTACAACAAGACTAAGTGCATCCTCTTCCACTGAGGCTACACAAAGCATCCCAATTAGGAGAAAGTGACCCCAAGGTAGGCAATACAGTCAGAGACAGATCCTGTACCTGCTTTAGGAGTCCCACATGAAGGCCCAGTGGCACAACTGCTACCTACGTGCAGAGGACCTAGGTCTGTCCCGTTCCTGCTCACTGGTTGGCAGTTCTGTCTCACAAGCTTCCATGGGCCCAGCTTAGTTGACTTAAGGCTTTCTTGTGGTGTGCTTGGCCCCTCTTCCTCCCCTAATCCTTCCTCCCCTCTTCCACAGGATTCCCCAAACTCAATGTTTGGCTGTAGGTCTCTGGATCAGCTTCTAACAATCGCTGGGTGAAGCGCCTCTGATAACATTTATGCTAGGCTCCTGGATGCAAGTATAGCAGAATATCATCAGTAACATCAGGGGTGGGTGTCCTGGCTAGTTTTGTGTCAACTTGACACTACCAGCTATAGTCACCTGAAGGGAGAGAACCTCAATTGAGAAATTGCACCAACAAATCCAGCTGTAGGGCATATTATTAATTAGTGATTGATGGAAGAGGGCCCAGCCCACTGTGGGCAGGCCCACCTGGGCAGGTCATCCTGCGTTATATAAGAAAGCAGGCTGAGCAAGCCATGGAGGACAGCCAGCAAGCAGCCTTCTTCCATAGCCTGTGCTTCAGATCCTAACTCCAGGCTCCTGCTTTGAGTTCCTGCCTTGTCTTCCCTCAGTAATGGACTGTGATTGGGGTTTGTAAACCAAATAAATCTTCTGTACCTAAGTTGCATTTGGTCAGTATTTTTCACAGCAATAGAAAGCAAATTAGAGCTGGGTGGTGGTGGCACATGCCTTTAATCTCAGAGCTTAGGAGGCAGAAGCAGGCAGATCTCTGAGTTTGAGGCCAGCCTGGTTACAGAGCAAGTTCCAGGACAGCCAAGGCTATACAGAGAAACCCTGTTTCAAAAAAACAAAAACAAAAAAGTTAAGAAAACTTTTAAAATAGTATTTCTTATTTTCCCAGAATTGATTATTTTACTGCTGCTCTCCTTTCAACATGAAGGAGGATCAAGTTGTGCTGGAAGAATCGGGATTCCAAGATGAGGAGGTATTGCTAGAATGTTGAAAGTTATGTTTGAGCTGGGCGGTGGTGGCACATGCCTTTAATTCCAGCACTTGGGAGGCAGAAGCAGGTGGATTTCTGAGTTCGAGGCCAGCCTGGTCTACAGAGTGAGTTCTAGGACAGCCAGGGCTACACAGAGAAACCCTGTCTCGAAAAACCAAAAAAAAAAAAAAAAAAAAAAAAGAGAGAGAGAGAGAGAGAGTTAGGTTGACATCCAGCCTTTCCACAAAACTCAAGTTCCTTGTTTTTTAAGCTACTGTTTTTAGCAACTAAAAGTAGAAATACGACATACACATGAATGTGTAAAGATTTCTTTGGCAAGGGTGCTAAGTTTAGCTACTTAGCAACTGGCATGAAGGTTTTTTGTTGTTTGTTTTGCAATGGAAGAGATCTGACCCAATACCTCTTGTTGGTAGGCAAATGCTCTTCCACTGGTTACATCTCCTGATCCATATGAAAGTAGTTTAATAGCACCTTACTCCTACCTACGCACATCGGTCCTGAACAAGGATATCAAGATTTGTATTAAATAAAATAGGTCAAATGAGGGCTGGAGAGATGGCTCAGCAGTTAAGGAGGCTATTCTTCCAGAGGACTAGGGTTTGATTTTCAGCACCCATATGATGACAAACTCCAATTTCAAGGGATCTGATGACTCTTTTCTTCTCAGAAGACGCTGTATGCATGTGGTATACAAGACATACATGCAGGCAAAACACCCATATACAAAAAAACTAAACATTTTTTTTAAATAGGCTCAAATAATCCACTGTTTTGGAGAGTTTTTTTTTTAAGTTATAGAAGTCATTGCAAATGTGATGGGGTGCCTAGGACTTTCAGCATTGGTGCATCTTCTAAATATGTAACATGTTTGAAAAAGTGATCTCTCTTCAGGGTTTAGAGAGATAGAATTCAAGTATTATGGAATGACTAGTAAATCATATTAGTCATTCTCAAAAATGTGAAATATGTTTTAAGTAAGATCTAAAAATCCATTCTTTCTGTTTCATTTCATTTAGGAATCTTTGTTTCAAGACATTGACCTGTTACAGAAACATGGAATTGTGAGTAACTTTTCAGTACCATATTAATGGTCTGTTCCAGTTTCTCAACCTTGTCCTTACCAACCCTGGATAATTCTTCACTGTGTGGTGAAATGGGCTGTCTACGCATCTTAAGTTGTTTAGCAACATGCCTGGTGTTCCAGAACAATTTAATCCTAGTATATGAGAACCAACCCCAAGGAGCCAATAGACTGAAGCAAGGAGCAGTCAAATGCAAAGTCTTAGAGAATATGAATATGGGGAATTTACTGGAAGGGAACTCCCTGGATGGCAACAAGCCTGTGCAGAACCCCCCAGATTGAGTTAGGAGGATATATTGGCTAAGATAAAAGTGACTTCATCAAAGCTAGAATGAGCCTGGTTGATCTGTCAAAGACACATTCCCGGTAATAATAAAAGTCCACAAATCACTCTAGTGGTTTGGACTGTTTATAGTATGCTTAGAAATTACACAGGAAAAAATCCAACCAACTCTGGGCATTCATAGAGTTACAACTTACAGATAGCTGTAGTCACATTAAACTGAAGTCCTAGATCTGCCTTCTGCTCCAGCATTTATGTCCTATATGTAACAACCAGAAATGTCTCTAGACACTGTCAAGGACTCTCAGTGATTAAGAACCACTGGTTCAGATGGAGGTGTTCAGAGCTTCTCTAAACAACCGCCCCTTGTCTCTCTAGGTCTCACTCTAGATAGATATGCTTTCTTTTGCAGAAAATTCTATCTGTCGAATGACCAGAGTAAATAATGGTGGCAGAAATGTAAATCAAAGGATGTGGATGTGAATAGCAATCATTGGTTAAAAGTTTGCTGAGGCTGTCTTTTGAAATCTTCATATTAATCTCTTTCCATTGATTTTAGAAAATCGAAGCGGGAGAAAATCCCAGTCTTTGGGTGATGTAGTTATTTGTGTTCCTCAGGAGCAGACGGAAAAGTAAACTTTGAAAAGTCTAGAGAACATATTGGTAATGAAGTTCTGTAGAAAGAAGGAGCTGAACTGAGGGGGTGAATGTGTGAGAAACTTGTTAGCTTTTCCACCAACAGACTTTTCTTTTTAATTCCTTGCTACATTGCCATGGTCTCACTAACATTCTTGGGAAAATCAGGGCAGAGCCAGAACATTTGGCAACATGCTGGGTATGTTCTACTCTGATATTTCCAGAACATTTGGCTAGATGGTGGGTGGGTTCCACCTGGTTGCTTGTGTAAAATTAGCATCATGATGGAAAGAGATGGACACGAAGCTCGTGACATAGTGGAGAAGCCTTTTAGGTTGGCATTTTATCAATCTGCTACGCCCATTCTTTTATTTCAGAACATGGCTGATATTAAGAAACTGAAGTCTGTAGGAATCTGTACCATTAAAGGGATACAAATGACAACAAGAAGAGCCCTCTGCAACGTCAAAGGCCTCTCAGAAGCCAAAGTGGAAAAGATTAAAGAGGCAGCCAACAAACTTATTGTAAGCCAAGTTCATTCTTTTCTGTTTTAGTTTAGCAGTGTCATCTTTCTCATGAATACTAGAAACTACAGTAGGAACGTGTAAGTTCTTGTAGGTAGACCACAGTGTGCTAGACTCCCATGTTCCTGCTTATTACTTCAATTTCAGAGCCACAGGAATTAGTCTCTGGAAGTCTGGGTCAAACATTAAGATACCCAGAACATGGACTGGATCTGAGTTCCATTCCTAGAATCACATGGTAGAAAGAGACATCACGGTGTGCACCCCTAACACACATACAGTTAAACATATACAGTTAAGGTAATTAAAATCTAAGAAAGAAGACCTGTTTTGTTTTTCAAAGATACTTGCTATACTATTAAATGTGGTTATTTTTAACCTAACTTTACCTTTATACTACTCTGGCTTTTTGTTCCTCTGCCATTTGTTTGTTTTTGCCTGCCCCTCCTTAGTTCGGTCTTGTCTTCTCATATATGCCTATAGCTGCTCTGACACTCAGTAGTAAAGAATTTACTCTTCCCTGGTATAGGCCGATTGAGAAGACAGCCCTAGATTGGAAAGAAGACTAGCATCAGTTCAGTCTGTGTGTGTGGAGCTAAAATAAACATGACCATGAATATGTCCATTGAGACTACTGGGTTCAAAACCTATACCTTTCAGTGGCTCCACAGATTGCAAGCAGTCAGGCTGTCAGGGAAAAAAGCATATAGCCTTTGACCTAAACTCCCCTGCAGAGTTTTGGGGATCATGAGGTCCCTGTTTTTAGTCTGAAAATAGAAATAAACAAAACGTAGTTACCAAGTATCCCTCTGTACAGAAGACCCAAGGCTTTCTATTTCTCCATGTGTATGCATGGGTCTCATGACCAGAAGTGGCAGGTAAAGCAGGAAGGTAGCACAAGTGGCATTGTGGTCTTGAACTTGGAGAGGACCCAAGTCCCACTAGTGTTCTTGGCCTAATTGCTTTGTTGTAAATCCACTAAGTCATTGTATCCAGAGTCACTTCCTCAACTGCCAGATTTTCTAAGTGCTATAGTACAATCCAGGTTTCTAAGTGCTATAGTACAATCCAGGTTTCTGGAAACTATTACTTTCTAGCTTCTACACTTTTGTTTGTTTGTTTGTTTGTTTTTGTTTTAGTTTTTCTTTTCAAGACAGGGTTTTACTATGTAGTTCTAGCTGTCCTAGAACTCATCTGCAGACCAGGCTGGCCTTGAACTAGGATATCTGCCTACCTCTGCCTCCCAAGTGCTGGGAATCAAAGGCACACACACCACCACAGCCTAGCTAAAAATTTTAAAATTTGTGTGTGTGTGTGTGTGATTTAGAGGGGACTTGCACATATGGCATATAGGTTTAGAGAACAACTTTGTGGAGTTGGTTCTCTCTCTTAAAGTCTTATTTATTTTATTATATATATATGTATGTATATATACATATATATATATATCTATCTGTCTGTCTATATCTATGTCTATGTCTATGTCTATTTAAATATACTGTATCTTTCTTCAGACACACCAGAAGAGGGCATCGGATCCCATTACAGATGGTTGTAAGCTACCATGTGGTTGCTGGGAATTGAACTCAGGACCTCTGGAAGAGCAGTCAGTGTTCTTAACCGCTGAGCCATCTCTCCAGCCCTGGTTCTGTTTTTTAATTGGGTTCTGGGTTTGAACCCAGTCAAGGTCAAGTCAAGTCAAGGTCAAAGCAAACACTTTTCCCCAGTCATTTTACCATTGCCCATAGTCTTCTTGTCTTTAGAAGCTAAATCTCATTATTTTACATGTGTGTGTTGGTCTGGTGTGTATGCATATGTATACAAGTGTGTGGAAACCTCAGGCACCATTTACTTGAACTCATGAAGTTGGCTAGGCTGACTGACCAGTGAGCTCTAAGAATCTTCCTTGTCTGTCTCCTGCTTTGTGTCTTTCTTGTTTGTTTGTTCTTCAAAATAGGGTTTCTCTGTGTAGCTCTGGCTGTCCTGGAACTCACTCTGTAGATCAGTCTGGCCTCAAACTCACAGAAATCCTCCTGCCTCTCCCCCTGTCCCCCACAGTCCCCTGAATGCTGGGATTAAAGGTGTGCACCACCACCACCTCCTGGTTTATTTACTGCTTTCTTTACATGAGTTCTGGGGACTGAACTTATGTCTTTGTGCTTGCAAAGCAAAAGTTTAATGATTGATCTATCTCCCCAGCCCCTAAATTTCACGAGTGTGTGGTACATGTACATGTGTTTGTGTGTGGATTCATGTGCCTATGGTTGTGTATTCAGAGGCATCCAATGTCTTTCTCTATTACTCTCCTCCTTGTTTTTTGTTTTTGTTTTTTTTTTTTTGTTTTGTTTTGTTTTTGGTTTTTCGAGACAGGGTTTCTCTGTGTAGCCCTGGCTATCCTGGAACTCACTCTGTCAACCAGGCTGGCCTCGAAATCCGCCTGCCTCTGCCTCCCAAGTGCTAGGATTAAAGGCGTGCGCCACGACTGCCCGGCTTCTCCTCCTTGTTTTTGCGACAAGATCTCTTTCAGAATCTGGGGCTTAGTTTTGGCTAGGCTGGCTGGCCAGTTGAGCTCCTGGGAGCCACCTCTCTCCATTCCCCAGGGCTGGGATTACAAGCTCAAACAGCCATACCTAGCTTTTTACATAGCTGCTGGGAATTTCAACTCGGATTTTCTTGCCTGCATAGCAAGTGTTCTTACTCACTGAGAGCCGTCTTTCCAGCCATAAATCTCATTCTTCAAGGAAAACCTAAAGACTTCCTTTTATGCATCCAGAGTCTTATCCTTTCTTGGCTAGAGCTGGGCCTGGGCTGACTCTTTGCTCCCCCAAGTTCTTCAAAGTTTAAGAACCACTGTTAAGAGCATGGACCAACAAAGAAAAATAATTAACTGTATTTGTGTCTGTTTTCACTGTTCATCACTACATCAGCAGATAAGAATGCATCTGCCATGTAAAGACATGAATAGTGAAAACTGCAATTTCTGGGATCCTTGAAATGTCTAGAGCTGGGGGGGGGGAAATGATGCTATTGAATGAGATCAATTGAATCACTCGGTAAAATACTGTTTTGTGCTATGAACTTTTTCCATTTATTCTTCAAGGCTATCTTCTAAAGATACAATATTATTATCTATATTAGATCCATGCTGGATTGTGTCAGGTACCCTTAATCATGTGACTTAATGAGAATGTGAGGTGACACTAAAGCCTTTTTTTTAAAAAAAAAAAAGATTTTTATGTGTATGAGTGTTGTGTATATATGTATGTATACTATGTGTGTGCAGTGTCCATGTAGAACCCAAGAGGGTGTTTGATGTTACAGATGGGTGTGAGCTACCATGTGGATGCTGGGAACTGAACCCACGTCCTCTGGAAAAAGACAAGGACTCTTAACTACTGAGTCTTCTCTCCAGCCCAGGCCTATGTATTTGCCCTGTTCTGATACAATCTTCAGAGAAGAGCACGCACAGATGATGACCTTGATAGACGAGGGAGTGGTGCTGCGGGTACTGCTGGGCAGCGACGGGCACTCCACTCATCTTACACTGTTTTCAACATCTCCATTGTCTTCCTTTAGGAACCAGGATTCCTAACTGCTTCTCAGTACAGCGAAAGGCGGAAGATGGTTTTCCATATCACTACTGGGAGTCAGGAGTTTGAGTGGGTATCTCAGCTTTTGTCACCACTAAGTACAATCTTCTGAGTCTGCGTTTCTTTTCCTGAATCTCATCATGATTTCCACTATTGTAGGTAGCTTCCTTCTTTGAAGGAGGTATTAGTAGTTGTTCCAAAGTGAACGTGAGACAAATCCCAGGCTCCTTTAGGGAACAGATTACATTTCTTACAAGGAATTCACACTCATAAGTCATTTCTAATTTAACCTTTATTTGTCGATGACCTGAAAAGTCTGCTTACATTCCTTCCTCTCCATCTTCATTAATGAAGAAAATTTCATTCCCCACTTCGTGTTTATTTAAGAATCAGTTGTTAAATTGAATATTTTAGAAGAAACAATTTTCTTAGGTCGTATAGGTCTTATTCCTCAGCAGTCCCTTTTCATTTATTCTTATGATTTCTGACATGTATTGTCATTTCCCCCAAATTGGCTTAATGTGTTTTCCCCAAAATATTTCATCTTTTTTTTAAGCTAAGTTTTATTAGATTCTCCTGGCTGATGTTAAATATAGCAGCTCAAGTGATCTTTCTACTTTCAAGCAGCTGGGGCAACTGAGTTTAGCCTTATTTTTATTTTTTATAATAGTTAATTTATAGATTTTCCTCCCAGACATATCTCTTCTCCCTCTGAGCCTATAATTGTAATATATTTATGAAAGAAGCTAGGTGGTTTACTTTTTAATAGCAGATCAGGCAGGCTTTGCTAATGTAATATAGTTAGGGTATGGTGGGGGTTACCAAAGATGACACCTAGGTGTTAGGTCTGAAGATCAGCAAACTGTAGATCACAAATAAGGGACTTGTAGGAGGGGCAAATTTAGGACCAAAGGTTGAAGTCTAAGCTACCTATTAGACCCAAATGGATGCTGAGTGCACACTCATTTTTAACAGCACTCCATCTCCTCTACTATACCCCTGAAACTATTAATCCCTTGCCTTCAGTTACCTTCCCAGAGAGCTCAATTTTCCAACTGTCTTATGGACGACTAGCACAGGGGAGGCAGAGGCAGGAGGATCTCTGTGAATTCAAGATTAGCCTGATCTGTATAGTGAGTTCCGGGACAGGCAGAGTTACACAGAGAGACACTGTCTCCAAGAGCCAGACAGAAAAGAGTTGAGGCAATTATAAGATGAAATAAATTCTTTCCTCCCCAAGTTGCTTTCGGCCATGGTGTTTTGTGATAGCAGTAGAAAACCTAACTAGAAGGATAGTACATAGAATGTTAGCAGGTAGAACAACTGCCAGGTTTTGACAGCATGTATTTAATTGGCAGTACAATGTTTTAGTGCATTTAATGTTCTCTATGAGAAGAACTAAAGAAGTTATGATCTCATTCATCCATTCATTAAATTCGGTATGTGTTGCTGTACTGAGACCTGATAGGAATACTTAAAAAGCCTTTGTAGTTTCTATTAGCATGTCTTTGGGGATACAATCACAAATCAGACAAAGCTGTAAGAGAATAGATTTATATTTGTCTAAGTAAGACAGCAATTTAAATTCAAATTGAAGGATTTTGGAAGTTATCCACAAACTTAATGAGGGCTCTCCTGATTTCAACTAAGAAAAGAGGGTAGAGAGATGGCTTAGTGGTAAAGAGCACTTGCTGCTCTTACAGAGGGCTAGGTTTGGTACCCAGCACCTACGTGGTGGCTCATAACTCACACTTTTAATCCCAGCACTTGGGAGGCAGAGGCAGGGGAATCTCTGTGAGTTTGAGGCTAGCCTGGACTATATAAAGAGACCATGTCTCAAAAATATTGAATATTTAGTTAATTTTTAGAAATATTATCTATGTACAATTTTAGAAACTTGATTAGTAACAAGACAACTACATGGTGTGTAATTCAGGCTTCTTAGCATGTACAAAACCCTGATTTCATCCCTAGAACCACAAAATAAAACAAATCTTTTAATTCCAATTCAAAAAGATAATGGACATAAAGCCTTACTGGCTTATTTACTATTGGTACTCAGAAGTAAGAACAGGCTGTATAAATTGCTTTGTTCATCTGCCTGCCCTTCCACAGTAGAACCTGTGATCTAAATAGTTAGTGTCATTTCTTTCAACTATGAATTCCTGTTCTTCTGTATGGATAGACAGATGATATGTTACTAATTATACACATTTCATCTCCTTTGTTTGTTTGTTTTTTGAGACAGGTTCTCTCTACATAGTCCTGGTTATCCTAGAACTCACTATGTAGACCAGGCTGACCTTGAACTCACAAAGGTCCTCCTGCCTTTGCCTCTTTAGTGTTGGGATTAGACACATGTGGCCACTACACCCAGTCAATCTTCTTTCTTGATATCTGTATTTATACTCTGTCACCAATACCTTATGTCTGTTTTCAGTAAATTACTAGGAGGTGGCATTGAAAGTATGGCAATTACAGAAACTTTTGGAGGTAGGTAGAACCTTACTAGTTTTCTGTGGAATGATATATATATGTATATATATGAAAAATAATAAATAAGTTTCTACTTGGGAACTTTAGATGAAGTGTCAATTATTATAATGCAGGATCATTCCAAGCTAAAATAAAAATATATACTAACATTAGCATATTTATTATTGATATTTTTCTTCTTATCTCTGATTACTATAGAAAGAAATGAATTTTTTCTCTTATTTGCTCAAAAGGTAATTGAATAATAAGGTTGTTCTTTTGTTTAGGCAACACATATTCCAGAAATATAGAAAATATTTTTTCTCTGTAGCATATATAATATGATGTGTGCATGAGTGCATGCTTGTGTGTGAGTTCATACAGGATCTTACTGTGTGGTCCTGACTAGCTTGTAACTCACAAAGAACTACCTAACTCTGCCTCCAAAGTGCTAATACTAAAGGCCTGCATCACCCCTGGCCTATATACTATATTTTTCCAAATAATCCATGTACAGCTGTTTTTACATGTGGAATCTTGACAGTCCAATATTAGTCTTAGAGAACCAAATGGTTTTTGTTACTATTTCTGTTGACTTGAATAAGTAAATTTTGTTTTTATTATTTCTACTGACTCAATATTAACAATTTCTCTTATTGTATATTGCTTATGAGGTTTTTTTAAAAAAAGATTTATTTATTTATTTATTTATTTATTTAGTACACAGTATTCTGCCTGCATGCCAGAAGAGGGCACCAGATCCCATTATAGATGGTTATTAGCCACCATGTGGGTGCTGGGAATTAAACCTCACCCTCAGGACCTCTAGAAGAGCAGTCAGTACTTTCAATCTCTGAGCCATCTCTCCAGCCCACTTACAAACTTCTTAAAATTTTCAACAGAGAGTTCAGTGGATCCAAATGATAAGTAGAAAAGTTTTCCTATGGAGAACATTTGCTTCTGCTGTCAACTAGGGATGTCACTATTCAGGATCACATCAGCTTTTCCTTGAGGATCTCGGCACAGTGAGGGAGCCTGGCTCTCCTTTCTGTGGTCAGGTCTGAAACCTAAACAGTTTTTTGGGGAGGATGAATTTTTTCATCTCTCGCTTTTGGTATTCATACATGTAGTATCCTTTTGTGGCAGAGTACTACATGTAAGTAGTTAGGTCTCTTGTGGAATACTGGAGATTAAATCTGGAACCTTGGGCTTTTAGACAAGTGCTCTACCTCTAAGCAACATTCCTAACACTATGCAGTGTGTTTTGGTTTTGTTGTTTGTTTAGTGAAAATATCTAATAAAACTTTTCTAAAAGTTCCTTTTTCTAAATTTCACAGAATTTCGTACTGGAAAAACTCAGCTGTCTCATACCCTCTGTGGTAAGAACACATACTAAAATTAGCAACACAGCAGTGATAGAGCATTCACATACTAGAGTTCTGCTGCACTTTACATTATTGTATGCAGTCTTATCCAGTTTTCAAGGAAACAACAGTCTACTGTTACACAGATGGTTTTGGAATGTGTGTTGGGATAGTGTTGTCAGTCCTGTACTAGAACATCTGAGTGGAAGTACAGAGAAGGTGAGTGGTTTATGAATGAATTGACAGGAGGGGCACCCAGTGTGTCAATTTCTTCCTATCCATATTTTCTGTCTTTTTAAAAAGCACAGTGAGGACATAACATTTATTGAAGACTAGAATACTGTCTATGGGGTGCATTCTGTCCAAAGAGAGGAGTAAAATTAAATTTGGGGCCTATGAAGATGGCTCAGTGGGTAAAGGCACTTGCCTGAGAAACTGAGCTTGATCCCTAGAACCCACATGGTAGAAAGAGTCAGCTCCCACAAGTTGTCCTCTGACCTTCACAGATGTGCCATTGCATCATGTGCCCCTAAAATAAATACATATATAAGTAAATATAATTTGTGAGTTTTTGGTTGGTTAATGTTTTTTGAGACAAGATCTTACTATCTAGGTAGCTCTGGCTAAACTGAAATTTGCTGTGTAGACTAGGCTGACCTCAAACTCACAGAGAGATCTGCTGCTCTGCTTTCCAAGTGCTGGGATTCAAGGCATGTACCACCACATCTGGCAAAAATAAATTTTTAAAAGAAGTAAATATATAATTTTTTTCTAAAGTAAAATAAACAAATTCCTTGTTAATGAAGATTTTATTTGTATTTGTTTCACGTAAGTAAAAGGAACATGGAACAGTGATTAAAAGGAGGCTCTGATGTGTACCCTAACACATGTGAATATGGATGCACACAAGCTAGCACAGCACACACACACAAGGAAAAGTGAAAAGTAGGCTGTGTTGTAGAATCAAATGTCTCCGCCCCACTACTGATAGCTGATGACTGCGGGCAAGTTGTTCTACCCTTAATTCTCCTTACAGTCAAACTGAAAGAATAATAGTGCCAAATTTAGGGGGAATTTTGAAGTAAGTGAAATAATGTGTGTGTCTAGTATGAAGTAACTATGTTAACTACAGCAGGATAACACATATGAGTTGGGGATGTAGCTCAGTTGATAAAGATGTGTCTAGCGTACATGAAGCCCTGGGTTCAATCCCCAGCTCTATATCAACCGTCCTAAACCTTTATCATCTTACATAGAGGGGGATCAAAGTTCAGAGTCATCCTTAGCTACATGGTAAGTAGGTTAGATGCCAGCCTGGGATACGTGAGAACCTGCCTTAAAACACACACACACACACACACACACACACACACACACACACACACACAAATGCTTGGGCTGGGGAAGTAGCTCAGTTGAGAAAGTGCTTGCCACACAATTGTGAGGCCTCGAGTTTGCATCTGAGTACTTTTGTACAATGCTGGGGCAGTACAACATATACATATAATCCCAGTGCTGGGGAGACCGAGACTCCTGGGCTTTGCTGGCTAGACAGGCTAACAAAATCAGCAAGTTCCAGGTTCAATAAGAGATGCTGTTTCCCTGGGCCATGTGGCACATGCCTTTAATCCCAGCACCTAGGAGGCAGAGGCAGGCAGATCTATCAACTGAAGCTATATAGTAAGACTTTGTCTCAAAGCAAACAAAACCCCAAAATTATATATTTATCTTAGGGGCACATGATGCAAAAGCATGTCTGCAGATGGTCTATATAATGAGTTCCAGGACAGCCAGGGCTGCACAGAGAAACTATGTATTGCAAAAAAAAAAAAAAAGATATTGTCTCTCAAAAGGTGGACATATATAAGGATATGTACAAATGCCTATAGTACACACACATATACATACATACATACATACATACATACATACATGTACAAAGTAAATACATTTAAATATTGACAGCAATTTAAAGGTAACAAGTTATTTAGCATAAATTATATTTACATTATGAAAGTAAAATTAGTAACATTTAAATTCTAATTCTGTTTATTTGGGAGAATTGACTTTGACAAATATTTCCCATTGTGAAAGATGTTAAAATTCTCAGTTGAATTATTATCCTGAGTCATAGTTAGAGTTTCATTGCTGTGAAGAGATGCCATGTTCATGGCAACTCTTATAAAAGAGAACGTTTAATTGAGACTGGTTTACCATTTTCAGAGGTTTAGTCCATTGTCATCATGGCATGAAGCATGGTGGCATGTAAGCAGACATGGTGCTGGAGTTGAAAGTTCTACATTTTAATCCACAGGCATCAGAAGGCATTTGTGTACCACACTGGTTATAGCTTGAGCATATATGACCTCAAAGCCCACCTCTCAGTGATGCACTTCTCCAACAAAGCCACACCTCCTAATAGTGCCACTCTCTATAGCCAAGCATTCAGAGACATGAGTCCATGGAAGCCATTTCTATTCAAACCACCACATCCTGCCAAAGTACTTATTTCACTACTGGTTACTGAAATGGAAATATAGCAATCTTTTTAGAAGCCAATGGGTCATTGTTCTTTACTGAGTTTACTAGAGTTGCAACCAACATGAAATTAATGTTTACTATGTATTTATTTGTGCAAAGTTTGTTCATTCCTGTTAATATTAATTTTTTATTGTTCCCTAGTGACAGCTCAACTTCCAGGAGCAGGCGGCTATTCAGGAGGAAAGATTATCTTCATTGATACAGAAAATACTTTGTAACCCTTTTATTTAAACAAGTCCTAAGGCAGTATTGTAGAACAATATTACTATAAAAGAGAGTGCCTTGAAATGTGGATTTTGTAGTGATCCTGGAAACCAATGATGACAAAAGCCAAGGGGACAGCAGTGCTGACCAAGTGCTCACATCACTGCTTGGTTTACTTATCTATACCTGCACCTAATTTGATGAAAAGTAACAAAAGAAATACATGAGATAAAATTGTATCTTAATAATTCTTAAACTTCATATCCAAAGATTTTCCTCAAATAGAAGGAAAGACTTGAAGAGCTTAAGTGTATAGAAGGGAAGGGTCAGAGCTGTTTGGGCCCCAGAGGACATGGCAGTTTAATTAGTATAAAAGTATTCTAGAATAGTCATCCAGAAAGGTGATTTGGGTCTAAGACATGAAGGGCTTTGAAACAAGATGATGGGTGTCAATTAGATATTTTTCAAAAATCTAGGAAAATGGGAGCTTTTTACCTAGGTTGGAAGCAATAAGAACAAAAAGAAACTGGGTGTAGTGGTACACACTCAGGAGGCAGAGCAGGCTGATCTCTGAGTTCAAGGCCAGCCTTGTCTACAGAGTGAGTTCCAGGATGGCCAGAGCTATGTAGAAAAACCTGGTCTCAAATAGTAAGCAAGCAAATGGAAGAAACAAAAAGAACAGAACAGGAAACATTAGCAAGGGTACTGCAGACAAAGGAGAGCGGCTTGAGAAGCGTGTCCTGACTGGAGTGGTACTGAGGACAATCAATGTTTCTTGGCAGTATGTTGAACATGAAGGACATGAGGCAGTACAGGTGACCATAGGAAACTCTGAGGAAAAGGTAGAGTCAGAGATGTGGATGAATTAAAGAGAGGGTAGAGAAAACTGTGCTTGTTTTTATGAAAAGGTCTAAAAAAAAAAAAGTACAGTCAGAGGAAGGAGGAAGTCTTCAGAAGGCAAGGAAACATGAAATGTGAAGAGTGAGGTAGATCGCTACAGTTGGGAATTGGTTCCAGGGAACATTTACCGTGGAGTCTGGAATAATGGAAGCATCTTGGAAAACAAGCATCAAGGAAACAGCAAGTGAGGGAGGCAGTGTGTAAATCGGATGGAAACAGTGGTTTGAGGAGGTACAAGGTTCAGAAGATAGATCTGCACAGCTTCATTAATCTATTCCCAGTGAAGCCCAGCCAGCTTCACGAGGCTTATTTCTCACCGTGGTCATAACTAGAGACAAAAAGATGGGAACGTTCCAGTCCTGCTTAAATATGCTTTGTTGTGAAAAATTGGAAATGTTGTACATTAACATTCTTGGGCTATAGGGTCTTTTGTGCTGTCATCAAGGCTTCTTATATCCACAGAGCTTTTGTTTTGTTGTATCACTTTAAGTACTGCTTCCAGGAAGGTGATCAGGGTTACAAAAACAGACTGTTTTTCATGTCTGAAATGCCTTTGCTTTGCTCTCTTCTGTTGGTTGTCTTGGCTGGTCATATGGAAATCTGTGTGTTTGTTGCTTTCCATCCTACAGGGGATTCACTCCCTCTAATCCCATGTCATAATCTTACTGAATCACACAAGTGGTTAAGCCTCTCATATCAAGGCCCGATCTTTCTGATTGTTTGTAATTACCCAATTCAGAAAATCTTGGCCTTCCAGAACTATTGCAGAATTTATTATAAGAAACACTCCTGTGAAAGAAAAACAAGTCAAGAAAGATTTCAGAATGTTGAGAAATCTAGGCATGAGAAGTCTCTGGAGGAACCTTCTAAGTTGAGAGGGGGGGTAGAATGTTTAGAGCTGTAACAAGAGGGGCTCAGCTGGAGTTCAGCTAGGCATAGAAAGAGTAACTGCAGAGGGGTGGGAATGGCTCTTGCAGATTAGCAGTCTGGATTTCCTCAAGACAAGAAGAGAATAGTTAGGAGCAAAGGGAAATTCAGGAGGGAAATCTCTCATGTTGTTCTCTTGGGGTTTCTCAACCTATACTGGTGTCTCTGCTGTCTCTTGTTATTTTTCTTACATTTCTATTATGACTCTTTATGTTTCTACTATTAATGGGTTAATATGGTTATCAGTAAATACTTGTAGATTGATTTATAGTTCCCCTCAGTGTAAGCCCAACTCTTTTTTCTTTTTTTTCTTTTTTCTTTCTTTCTTTTTTTTTTTTTTGAGACTCTTAAACCCCAGTTCAGATAGAATCCATGGTTTGTAGAAGCTGACAAGAATGATACTTTTGTTGCCTCTTGCCTAAGATGTGCAAGGGGTTAATGCCTAGCAGTGGAGTTAAAAAAGAAAGATAAACCTAGCAGTGGTGCTACACACCCTTTGTCTCAAAACAAACAAACCAACCAACCAAAATTCAAATTAAATAAATACATAAATAAATAAAAATTTCAAAGAATGACCTTGCTTCCCAGCAGCTAATAGTGTTTTATGAGCAATGAAAACAAGAATGAAATGAAACTGCAGACAGGCAGGTCACTAAGGACCAGAAAATAAAGTGGAATTATTTTCTGTAGCTTACCAGTTAGTGATTATTAGTGTCTTCCACCTTTGGGGGTATACAGATTTGCCTCCATCGGAACTTTGTAATTTCAGAATGATACCGACTCCTTTAGAAGAAGGTGTATAAAAGCCAAATAAAACAAAACAAAAACCCTGCTTCAATCATTCCCTTTTAGACCCTTGAGGTTATTTTTTGACCCTTCATATAGTTAAATTTGTCAATTTTTTTTTGCCACATTTTTAGTGGAATGCTAAACTACTCATTTTGAGCCAATGAAGAATTTGAAGTGACTTGAATATAACTCATGACATTAGTGTTCTAGGTCTGTTTTTACAGAGCTGAGAACAAAAGAGACTCACAAACCTAAGTTTCTAGTTTTTCTATTTTAACTATTCTGCAGCATAATCCTAAATTATTTGCCAAAACTCTGTCAATGTCCTTATAAAATGAGAACATCACAACAAGCTTCTAAGCTTATTTTAAAAATTGTATACCTTAATATGTCATTTCTGATTTACCATATCTGTGACACCTACCATTATATAAGGCATTTTGAAGCAGTTATGAAAAACAACAGCTTTGGCAGTTTCTTAAGTCATGAGTAGCATCCAGAATGCCTTTGCAGATGCACTGTTATGTCTCAGATGCTTTACTTGCTCACAGTGCTACCTCTTGTAGCTATCTAACTTTCTTTGGAATTGGTTTATTGGATCCTTAATCATGGCACACTCCAGCCGTCCAGATCGCCTTCGGGACATTGCTGATCGCTTCAACGTAGACCATGATGCAGTACTGGACAATGTGCTCTATGCACGTGCCTATACGAGTAAGAGCCCTGAGCAGTTGAATGCTTGGGTTATGGGAAGATTGACAACACTAGTTTACTATTTGATGATACAACATTTTCACTCATTTTCCTTGTTTTATTTAAATTTTCTTCAAATTAGTCTTCAAATGTCATCTGTTCAGTTCTCAAGGTACTCAAATGCCTTCAAATTTTGTATTTGTTGTCACTGAAATGTAGAGTAACAGCTATTTTTCCTATTTGGTGCTGAGATTAAACCCAAGGTTTTCCATACGCTAGGTATATAGTATATCATCGAACTAAAGTTCCCTAGAACAATATCTTTTTGTCTAAGGTACTGTTTGCCACATATGGTCAAGCAGAGTATGCAGTCCTATTTAGTAAAGTGATAGTCAGGAGAAAAGAAGAGATCTAGCTGTCTGGCACCCAAAGACACACACATGAGACTCTCTCTCTTTCCCATCAGGTGAACATCAGATGGAGCTACTTGATTATGTAGCAGCCAAGTTTCACGAAGAAGCTGGCATTTTCAAACTATTGGTATGAGTTTTTAAATAATGCTCACTGGCAGAGCCATTTAGCATATTGTTCTATTCTGTTTAAATAGGCATCTTCCTCCAATTTTAAAATGCACCTTTGGTTTTATGTTACTCCCGTGCAGATCATTGACTCAATAATGGCACTTTTTCGAGTGGATTTCAGTGGCCGTGGGGAATTGGCTGAACGCCAGCAAAAATTGGCCCAGATGTTGTCGCGACTCCAAAAAATCTCAGAAGGTAGATCTTTAAAATAAAATGGCACTGTCACAGAGCATCTGTTGACTCTGTTTGCTAAAGTATGTTTTACAGAGAATCTCAGAAGGATGTCAGAAGCATAACATTTTAAAATTACTTTCATGGGACTACAATTATTTAAATTAAATGTGATTCTGATAGAAATAATAATGATGACTTTAAGTAATTTTTATTATTAATGAAAATAGGAAACTGGGCAGGATGGCACACACCTTTAATCCCAGAACTTAGGAGGCTGAAGCAGGAAGATCTCTGATTTGAGGCCAGCCTGGTCTACAGAATGGGTTCCAGGACAGCCAGGCCTACACAGAGAAACCCTGTCTTAACACGAAAACCAATAGGAACAAGAGCTTGTTTATAAAAACAAACTCATGGTGCAGTGTTCCTAAACTGAAGTCTAAACAATGAACTTTGTATTTTTATTGCCCTTCTCTTAGTTTGTTAATTTTATTTTTTGATGCAGAATATAATGTTGCTGTTTTTGTGACCAATCAAATGACTGCAGATCCTGGAGCAACTATGACGTAAGCCCTTGATTTGTACTCATAGAGATTACTATCAAAGGTTACTGTATAGAAGAAAATCACTTAGAAATAACTAACCTTATCTGTGTATGATATCACATGCCTGTTATCCTAGCACTTGGGAGATGATTGCAGGAGGATTGTGAACTCAAAGTCAGACTGGGCGATGTTGTGAAGCCTCATTTCAAAACAGCGACCACTAATAATCAGCTGTGATGTGGGCACATGTATGGTAGATCACTTTATGACAGTGTGCTGTTACTTTATAACTGCACATGGCATTTATTTGTTATTCAGGACCTTTTTAAAATGTACTTTCTATAGAAAAAAGTGACATTTGAATCTATTCTAGGGACCCCATTTGGTCCTAAGACGAAGGGGTATTGAAAGACAATAAGAAAAAGATCTTAGGTGCTTGAAAGATGGCACAGCAGTTTAGAACCCTGTTCTTGCAGAAAACCTGGGTTTGAATCCTAGCACCTACAGGTTGGCTCACAACTATTCATAATAGTCCCAGGGAGTCCAACACCTTCTAACCTCTGCAAGAACCAGGCATGCATGTGGTGTACATACATACATACATACATACATACATACATGAAAGCAAAATACTCATATGTGTAAAATAAATATTATAAAAGAAAGTGATTGGCCAGGCAGTGATGGTGTACACATTTAATCCCAGCACTCAAGAGGCAGAGGCAGGTGGATTTCTGAGTTTGAGTCCAGCCTAGTCTACAGAATGAGTTCAGGACAGCAGAGCTATTCGCAGAAACCCTGTATCGAAAAGATAAGAAAAGAAAATGATCTTAGGTAGATAAAAGCTTACATTCTAGAAACATTGAAAGGCTGCTATGCAAAAACAAAAAAATAGGCTTTTGATTAAATGTACAAGAGACATCTTTTTAAAAAACACAAGAGAAGTCTGCTGCTCATGGAAACAATGTCAGTCATACAAAGCATATTCAAAATTTACTGAAGTATTTGCCCACATATAAGAGTACAATGGTTCTCTGAAAGATGGCAAGGAGTAGAAAGCAAAGAGAACTAAAATAAAACTGTGAAAGCATAACATTCAAAGGAAGGTTTGTATCACCATCCAGAAGGTTTGAGTATGAGTTGAATAGCCCTTTGTTCATAATAACTTTCAAAAGCTTTTTCTACATTTTACTTGGAAAGTGTTTTAACCAGAGAAAAACTTCACATTAACATAATGAGTGTACATGCTGCATTCACTTATGTTTACCAGTGGTTATTGTATTCTTGCGACACGCTTTTTCTCTTCCTCCCTCTTCTCTCTTCTCTTTCCTCTGTCCTCTCTCTTCTGTCTTCTGTCCTGTCTCCTCTCTCCTGTCTCCTCTCTCCCTCTTCTCCCTCTCCCCCTCCCCGCCCCCATGGTGGTTTGAATAGATATGGCTTCCATAGACTCAAGTTTGAATGCTTGGCAACAGGAGTGGCACTATTAGGAGGTGTGGCTTTGTTGGAGTGGGTGTGGCCTTGTTGGAGGAAGTATATCACTGTGGAGGTGGGCTTTGAGGTTTTCTATGCTCAAGCTATGCCCAGTGTGACACACAGCCTCCTGCTGCCTGCAGATCAAGACGCTGAACTCTCAGCTCCTTTCCTCGGCACCATGTCTGCCTGCATGCCACCATGTTTCCCGCCATGATATTAATAGATTAAACCTCAGGAACTGTAAGCCAGCCCTTTCTTTATAAGAGTTGCTGTGCTCATGCTGTCTCTTCACAGCAATAAAACCCTAAGACATTCTCTTATGTACAAGCATGCTAGCATGCATATCTGTGAATCTTTTTTTCTATGTACATACTCACAGTCATTCGTTGAGATATATTGACATATATCCTATTTGTGTGAACCATTTGAGAATTGTCTGGCTTTTTTTTTCATGATTGTTGAGTATTATTTGTAGACATTAACATTTTACCACTTAATACTTCACCATATGTCTTCTAAGAGCAAGAACATTTTCCTTCATAATCACAGTAAAATTAACACATGCTGTTTAATATCAACAGTGATGCTATCTAATATCCAACTTTCTCTAGTTGTTCTGACAATGTTTATTATAATTGTGAAGAGTTGTTTTAGGCTCATGGTCTTCAACAGAGTGCATGCTATTTATGTATTTGTTGAATCTCTATAGTCTCCTTTAATCAAAATAGCTCCTCGGCCTTGTTAAACTTTTATGATAGTGCTATTTGTTTTAATTTTTTTTAAAGTTTATCTTTGAATCACATGCATATGTGTATGTCTGTGTGTGGGCATGTGCACATGTGAGTGCAGAAATGGGTATAGGAACTTATGTAGGTGCTTATGAGCCTCCATATGGGGGTCAGTGACAGAACTCAGGTCCTTTTCAATAGCAGCGTGTGCTCTCAGCAGCGTGTGCTCTCAGCCATCTCTCCAGCTCTTTGTGATAGTAACATTTTTGAACATCAGGCCAACTATTTTCAATATCTCTCAATTTGAAGTTGCTTAAAAACTTTTTAAAACTTTTTTGACTTATGTGTACACATACACACACACAATTGCAGAAGTAAACTCCCTCTCTCCCCATGTGAATTTGTCATATTAAACTCTGTCAGGCTTTGTGGTAGGTGAGCTTATTTGCTGAGCCATCTAACCAGCCCTGATTGTTTTTTCTCATTATTTTAAATGTGAAATGCTTTTGATAGGAAAACTATGTGATATTCGACCTTCTCAGTGTGTCATGTTAGAAGGTACAACATGGCAGTTTGCCCCATTATTAAGATGGTAAATTTGGCCAAGCGTGGTGGTACACACCTATAAACCTAGCACTCAAGAGGCAGAAATAGGCAGATCTCTGAATTTGAGGCCAGCCTAGCTTATGTAGCAAGTTCTGGGCTAGACAAACTTGTACAGTGAGACCCTATCTCAAAAAACCAAAAACCAACCAAAACCCAAGATTCTTGAGCCATGTATGGAGATGCATACCTTTAATCCCAGCACTTAGGAGGAGGCAAATAGATCTTTATAAGTTCGGGGTCAGCTGGCTTATCTATGTAGTAAGACTCTGTCTTAAACAAAACAAAAAGCAAAACAAAACATCCAGCCAACTAGACTGGAGAGATGGCCCGGCAGTTAAGAGCACTGTCTATTCTTCCAGAGGTCCTGAGTTCAATTCTCAGCAACCACATGATGGCTCACAGCCATCTGTAATGGGATCTGATGCCCTCTTCTGGTGTGTCTGAAGACAGTGACAGTGTAATCATATACATAAGTAAATAATTCTTAAAAAAAAAAAAAAGAAAGAAAAAAGAGCCTCTGGAACATGCAGAATTCTCACACTCAGGGCTTTACAAAGAATCCAGCCATAATGTTTGAAAGAGATGGTGTTTGTGAGAGTTCTTCATTAGTAAAGCCACAAAAACACCTCTTTGAAATTTAGTGATTTCTGAGTGATGCTCACACCATGTAGTATCATGTTTTGCAATCAGCTTTCACCATTTATTTTAGCACCTGTCAATAATTCTTGACCAAATTAATCCTTACTCCTATGTTGCAAAACAGTGTAATTTTACATTAAACCAAGGCAGTGCTTCTATTATGTGCATATAAAATGAGACACTATACTAGCAGATACTTTTTTTTTTCTAGTTTTCTGAGACAGAGTTTCTCTGGGTAGCCCAGGCTGTCCTGGGGCTCACTCTGTAGACCAGGCTGGCCTCGAACTCAGAAATCCGCCTGCCTCTGCCTCCCAAGTGCTGGGATTAAAGGCATGCACCACCACCGCCCGGCTGATACTTTTTTTTTGTAAGATTTACTTTTTTTTGTATATGATTACACTGTCACTGTCTTCAGACACACCAGAAGAGGGCATCAGATCCCATTACAGATGGTTGTGAGTCACCATGTGGTTGCTGGGAATTGAACTCAGTACCTCTGAAAGAGCAGACAGTGCTCTTAACCGCCGAACCATTTCTTCAGCCCACTTAGCAGATAGTTAATAACAGTGCAAAATTCTCTAAGTTGTGCTGAAATGAATGTGCCTCTCTTCAGGCATTTATTTATTTATCCATTTACTTTTATTTAATGTGTATGTCTGAGTGCCTGCATGTATGTATGTGCAACACATGTATGCTTGGTGCCAGGTAGAGCCAGAGGACAGCACTAGATTCCCTGGAACTGGAGTTACAGGTCATTGTAAGCCACCACGTGGGTGCTGGGAACCAAATCCAGGTCTTCTGCAAAAACAGCCAACACTCTTCGTCATTGAGCTGTCTCTCCAGCCATCATCATTTAAAAACTTGCCGAAGAACACTGCTGCATCTTTTGCATTTTAATGTATCCTTTACCCTTCAATTCTTTTATGAGTATTTTCTACTTAGCTAAAGGGAAAAAAATTAATATGGAAAAAAATCAACTATGTAAATAGTCAAAAGAAAGTTAAAATATGGAGGGAACCAAAAGTATAGCTTAGTGGTAGGCTGTGTGGTTAGCATGTGGAAAGCCTTAAGTTCATCTCCTCTCCCTTTCAAAAGATAAAAGATTGAGGAGAAAACTAGCTATTCATTAATTCAAATATTATTGAAAACCTACTAGGTAACAAGAGTCTGCAAATTCATTAGCAAACTAAAGAAACAAAAACCTTTGTCTCAATAAAGGAGAAAGATAAATGGTATCTATTTATCTATTTAGCTTAGTATTTTAAAGTCTTGATATGTCCCCTATCACTTCATCTGTAGTGTAGTCTTTGGATGCTTAGAGCAATCTTTTCTCTATGGAGTGTCTTTTGTATACAGACAGGACATGAAGTACTTCACAAAGAGATTAATTTTAAACTAACGAGAAATGGAAGATTTTAAAGGCTTGCTTTAAAAAGAGAAAATGACTCATTGGCTCAGAGGGAGGAAGTGGGCTGCATTCAGATAAAACAGTACAAGTTAAAGAGCACTGTTCTCTCTTCAGGTGTGGGGAGGGAGCACTGAGGAGGCCCAACTGTCACTCTTGAGTTACAAGGC